CAAGAAGTAATAAAAACTAGCATCGTAAATAGTGACAAAGAAGAATATGATGCTATCGATGAAGAAAAGGAGACCAAAGAAGATGACCAGCCAATTAAGAAACCTGACACCTAATTCGCATCAAAGTTCAATTTTAAAACACCAAAGTTAATTTTTACAACGTCAAAGTTAATCTTTATAATTATTGTTAATTAATTAGTTAATTAATTAATTAATTAGTTAATTATAATTAACAATAACTAACAATTACAAATATTTCCCTATATATACAACAAGGAGCACTGACGATGATTCATTCGGAATCGAAATATGGCCTTATTTGCAGCATGAATTCGAAAAATAAGTTTATTTTGAATTTTAATAAACTAAACGTTCACCAAAAAACTTTAGTGAGAAAAATCGAAAAAACGAACTACAAATATTAACGCCAAACATTCGGTAGAATTTATAGAATATTGTAAAAATATATATATATATATTATAATTGTTATATATATATATATATATATATTATACTATAAGTTATAAGTAACTTTTATATATTATTATTATTAAATGAAAATTTATAAATCGCTTTTCAATAAAAATCTCAAAAGCGCCAACAATAATTATAAATTAATTTAAAAGTTAATTGTTACTGACATTTAGTTAAATGCCTACCATAAAACTTGAAACTACATTTATTTAAATATGTTATCTATAGGTAATAAACCAAAAAACATTTATTAACCAAATAATAAGTTCAAAGATTCAACCGCATAAATTACAAATTATACCTAAACAGAAGTTGAACACAATAACTAACAATTACAAGTTATGTATATTACTAAAATGTGGTTGAGTAATCGAATGCCGTTATTTTTACATAAGATTATGACCATATAAATAGAAATACATTCAGCTTTAAAGAAGTTTTTTGCGTTTAATTCAATGATGAATTTTGACGGCAGCTTATCGCTTATCACGGTGCTTTATAAATTTATTATTAGTATCAATCCGGTTTAATATTGATATCTAACATATTCGTTAACTCTGTGTTGCTCAGTTCAATTTTCAACTATTGCACATCCTTATGCATCCCCTTTGATTATTCCGAATTGGATTTTGTTTTCTACTCTTGTCTGCTATTTTGGAAAATAATGTAAAAACTGTTCGAAATTTTACAGAAACTTTTTTATATTTTAAAAATATATCAATTTGTTCTATGTTCCTGAGTTTGACCATCATTTTATAGCACAGATTCTGTAACTTTCAGGCTATTGCTGAAGAGCTTACAATCAATCAATCAGTTTATAAAGCGCTATTTACGCGATGTTCAACAGCGATGCTCAATGAATTTGGAAAACAGATGGTTCTTAAGATCCGCTCTGAATTTTGTAATTGATGGAGAAGTCGTCAGAGAAGGAGGTAGAGAGTAGAAAAGGGCCAGAAAAAGCAAATTTAGCAAAAGAGCGTTTAACACGAGTTAAGAAGTTAGAACAAGAAGACGATCGTAAACCGGTGCGTTACAATGGTACTATCTTTTGAAGAATGTAATAATATATAGGTGAAGCAACATATTCCTTATAGAACAGTAACTTTTTTTCTAGAAGTTTTTTAAATGTTTTTCATAAACAGCTTAGGTTGATTTTTTTCTGGTTTCAAGCAGTTCTCGATCAATGATGTTAAATAATTAAAAAGTTAGCCTTTGAATGATTTTCAGTGGTTTGTTTATTGAACATGTATTTCATATAACAGAATGTTTTCAAACCTTAAAAATCAGATTCTGACAATTAACAGATGAAAATGTGACAAATTAAAAAGGAAGAATTAACGCCTATGCTAAAACAAACAGGAAAAATTAATGTTCGATTGACATAACAGGTACACGCATTATTAAGAGTCAATGAAACATATTTAAGTAATTTGTTTGTTTCTCAGCTACATAACATTTTACACATTCCTTTTTTCATATTATTTAAGTTCAAACATGAAAAAAGAGAAAACCATGTGATAGAAGAAGGAATAAATTATCGATAAAATAAAAAACATCTTTCGTACGTTATATATGTACTGACGCATGTATGGCATCCACGACACAATGCGATCAAATAACGCGAGCGTGTGCGTCATCCATTGTATGAATGATAGCACGCGTGCGAAGCCGTTCAATAGTTGCTCTTGTTTACAGTTTGCCGTATATATATATATATATATATATATATATATATATATATATATATATATATATATATATATATATATATATATGTGCTGCCGCATGTGTGCATTTAACGTGCTCCTTTCGCCTTTCTATAACAACAACTATTTACAACAATTTTGCTTTCTTGGTTTTCCGAGTTTGGCCATGAAGCTGGGCATTAGCGCTTCGTGGCGACTCGTATTTTTATTACACCTCGTTCAGTCTGTTTCCTCGGTGAATGATTTTTGTGACGGTGAGGACTTAGAAGGATGCAACGAAGAGTCTCATCCAGTCCGTCCACAAAATTACAGCAGCAACAACAAGTTAATTCATCTTTCATCTATTATTTAATTAATGACTAATTATAACGAAGATAATAATAACTGTTACTTTATTAACATCTTAATTAATAATATAATAACATTTTTTTAGCGTTTAACTGATTTTTTTAAACTAAATTTTTCATTAACTATTTTTGAACAACTATAAAATAAAATTAAATATAAAAACTGGGGTGCCTAGCAGAGCACCTGCCCTCTTTTGCAGTGAGTGGGTTCGAATACGAAGTGATTTCCGATCCCACAGTTTTTTTTATTCTATACTTACTTGTAATTAAACTTCCTTGCCACACAGGCTGTACTATCCACACCACACGACGCACGTACACATTATTTATGCACACGCAAGCACCGCGTCATTCGGGTATGATTGTTTTTGTGATTCGGACACAGTGTTCGAACCCTGCCATTGCGTAATAGCAGCAACATTTAGATTTCTGTTTCTAATTTTATGGAAAATATCTATAAAAATTGAAATAATGCTTTTTACAACCGTTTTCAGTTTACAAAAAGTATACATTAAACATTTATTATTTTAAACAACTTAAGGATTTTCATACATGTTGGAATGGTGTCCTGTGGAAATAAATTTGATGAAGTTTTTACACTTATAAAGTCAGTCATGCTTATCACAAAATATGATGTTCTTTTTCATCTGTTCACTGATGACAAAGAGATGAACTTTGACAAAAAGGTTATAAAGTAGTTTTTTTAAGCTTGAATTATTTTTTTAAAAGTTTGAAATCAAGCACACATCTTTCAATTTGTTTGTATGAACATTTGATACCTGTCAACATTTCTGATCCGTTCAGTCTTATGCATACCTATTTCTCCGTTACTCATACACTCTACTTACAACCAAATCTTCAGTTAACAAGATTTGTCGAGGCTCTCCTGTTTCTGACTATAATTATAGATTGTTATTTATTTTTTTTGCTAAATTATTACTTTTTTTTGTATTAAATAAAAAAAATAAAAAAGGTTTCATATGATTAAAAAAACCATGAATTATTAATGCAGATATTTTTTACTTTTTGTTTGCAAAACAATTTGTAAGTTCAACCTAACAAACATTGTTCAATTTTTATTCAGTTTCTCAAATATCAGCAACGATTCTCAAATTTTTTTTATAAAATTTACGCCATACAATATCCTCCATATGTCGATGAAGCAGAATGGAAAACTTTATTTAAACCTTGTGCCACTCAACGAATTTTTCTGCCCGTTAGTGTTTAAAGTTTTTGATTTATTGACGTTTTTTAATTGAAGTGGAAGATTTATTTAAAGAGTAGTAAAAATTGATGCGTTTTTGAGTTGGCTATATCTGATTTTTAGTTGTCAGTTTTAACTTAATCTAAATAACCTGCTATGTTGCGACTACATTATCAGAAAATTTAAAAAAAGAATTGAATGATTGGTTCCCTTTCAAACATTTGCTTTGCATCTGAAAACATGCTACTTAAAACGGTCCACTTTCAAAGTTGTTCACTTATATTTTGTTCTTTAATATTCCATCAGCTATTTACTTGAAAATATGATAAAGACAGTTATGAATGATGATCACATCACATCGTAGCTAGTCCTAGCAAGCGTGGATTCCATCATCTACCTGGACACCGATGTGCTGTTCCTTCAGCCTATCAACAAACTCTGGGACGTGTTCGAGACTTTCAATGCAATTCAAATATCGTCAATGACGAAGGAGCATGAAGAGGCATCGGCAGGCTGGTACAACAGGTTCGCAAGACACCCATTCGTACCTCCATATGGTGTGTTCATGTCTCTCTTCCTTCATTGCCTTCTTTCCATCCAATTTACAAAAAATACAAATTTTTACTTTATCTGATGTTCAGATTAAAATTTGTTAATTCTTTTAGTTATGAACTTCTTAAAATAAAAATCGCATCCTTTTTATAATATTATTTTCAGGCATTAACTCAGGTGTGATGTTGATGAATTTAACGCGTATGAGAGACACCAAATGGGTTGATGAAATTATATCCTTCCACAGGAAATATAAATATGATATCACGTGGGGCGACCAAGACCTCATAAACATCTACTTCCACTTCCACCCTGGTTACTTTTTTCCTTTATTGACGATTATCCTGATTTGTTTTTTATCATGCAGTTTGGCGACGTTGTTTTAACGTAATCAATAACATCACTTTTGCAATGTATCAAGTCACTGCTTGCAGGAAAGTCATGAAACGTCTTGCAATTGAAAATGACTATAGAGCTGGAAATATATGGAATTTGATTTTTGTTATAAAAAGCCATGAAGCAGTTGTGGATTTTTATTAAAAGATCATAGAAAAAATTTGTTAATCAAATATTAATAAATATATGTACAGGAGTTTCTCTAGCAATCAATGCTAATTTATGGAATTTCCTGATTAACAAAAATTTAAATGTTTGTCTAACATTCTATGAACTTTAATAGTAATAAACATTTATCAATTATTGCTTATATATGCAGAATAGGTATGTTTGGCTATAACAATAACAATGCTGCGAAAGTAAATTGTTTCGGTGATGACCAATCAAAGTTGTTTAATTTATTACGCTTATTAAAAAAATCAGTTTACGCCGATGGCAACCATCAAACAATTTGTACGAGATGAGATGTGATGCTAAGAGTACGAGAGGGAGAAAAAAATTATTCAGTATAGGATATTATTTGTTAGAAAATATCAGGAATGAAATTTTGAGTTAACTTCACTACTTAATAGTCTCATAATAACTTAATAACGTTTTATTAAATCATTTCTTGGCCATCCTTGTCTCATCAATCACATACCATAAAACATGATTGATTTTTAGCGCTGTTACTAGATGTGTTCAATATTAAATAGTTGTTTTTAAATTGGTTTAATATATTGCAGACAAACTTCATGAAATATCTTGCAACTGGAACTACAGACCGGATCACTGCATGTACATGAGCACGTGCAAGGAGGCTGAGGTTGAAGGCATCTTTGTTGTGCATGGCAATCGGGGAGTCTTCCACAATGAGAACATGCCCACTTTCAAAGCTGTTTACGATTCTCTTTTTCAAGTAATTCCTTTATATTATATTTTTCGAAGGCAATAATTGTATTGAAAAATTACCAAAGTGCTAGTATACTAAGAGTTTATTTTAACATTTTATTTTAACATACTAAAAGTTTATTTTATTTTTCGTACCTTTTAATAATTTGGTAGTTTTAATAATTTTATAGATAGAAAAATTTAACATTTTCCAGTTTCCAGATGAAGAGTACGATGATTTAATAATATTAAGACAAAATCTTGAAAATAACTTGAAACGTTACGAGGATACCAGATGCGGAAGTATGGGTAATTTATTTTTAAAAAATTACGAAAAATATCTGACATGAAATTTTTTTTTTTTTTATTTATTTTATTTTAAATAAAAATTTTCCTTTGAGCAAAACGTTTTAATAGCTAAATAATTGATCTTGTACGTCCTGTTCAAAAACCAGTCACATACAAAACAGCATAATGTCATATATTTCAAAAAACTCTTACTTTTGAACATTTAGATGAAAGAACATAATGTATTTAAAATTTGAAAAAATAATAGCACTCTGTTTTGAACATTTAAATAAAACTTACCAAGAGTATCGAACTCGTTTTGGATGAAAATCGATTGTTTTCGTTTCTAACAGAAAAACAAAAACTTGAGCTATAGCCAAAAAATTAGCAAATTTCAACGAGTTCTAATTGTTTAAGCATAAAATTAAATTATATAAATTGCAACTTGTTACACATAAATATTTATTATCAATAATATATACTTGATTTAAATAAAAAAACGTTAAAACAAATTAAATCATTTTACAGAAGCATATCTTAATGAGCCCAAAAAATGACTGCTACATTTTTCAGTAAATATGTAAAACGTGGTAATTTACGAAAGATTTCTAGAAAATAATCCAAAATTCGTTTTCGTCGTGCGTATCTTTACACAACAATTTCCTAATAAGATTTGAAAAATATTACTTACTACTAAATTTTATGATGGATTTTTTAAACAGATTCGCTCTTAACTTTATTTAGCAGTTACAAAGAGAAGGTAGAAAATTCCAGAGAAAAGGAAAAAATCAGGCTTAGCTTATGAATTTTTGACAGAAAGTAAGGACATAATAAAACATGAACATATACTTTTGTGCTCAGGTTTAGTTAAAATAATTCGGATATACTTGAGAATTTAATTAAATTATGGCTTGAACATTAGCGTGCAAATTTGGTAAAATAGTGTCAGAATTATGAAATAATACTGACTAAAAATACTTCAAAGTTTTCAACGCAAAATTTATTCAATCGATAGGGGGCATGGTGCAAGTTAATTTACTCGATAGGTGACGACGATTTTTTTTTGTTTTGCAATTTAGATGACGTCATAAATTATTACAAATTATTTTAAAATTTAATTAGTAGTTTTTTTGATTAATTGGACATACCTTGGAAATTTTTATGTTTAAAAACACCCGAAACAAAATCTAATTTTGCTTTGATATAGAGTTTTTTTCCTTTTTAAGGGAAGAGAGTCCGCATTGGGTTGACTTGTTGGGCAGCCTTGAATAATCGGTGCCTATTCTGGTTTCTAAGAGACTTGAATTCTGTGAAAACGAATCCGCCTCCTTCTTTTGTTTTTCTTGTGCGATTTGTGGACCTAGGGTTCTTTGCTGGATTCTATACTCATTGGTGTAGTTTCGCACGCAGCTTGCAATTTCCATAGGCTCCGATTTTTGTAATTTTTCTGCATTCATTTTATTTATTTCTCGGAGTTGTATCGACACCACCATCGGTCACACACGTCGAGGTTGTACGATTGAACGGCAAGAAACATTTCCTAAGTTGCCCAACCCGACAAGAAGTTCTAATTCCTGTATTCCAGTTTGTTCATTGACATTATTTTTAACATTATTCTAGAGTTCAGTTAGTTCAATTTCTTTTCATTTACTTCCGTCGATTAATAAAATTGTTATCGAATATTTTACGCGTTCGTGTGTTACTCAGTAAAATCATATAATTCGAAAATGCCCAGTGCCACACAGGACTAGTCGAACTCACGATAAAAATATACACAAAAATTATTGTCGTACCATAAAAAAATTCCTTGAGAGAGATAGAGGAAGAGATTACCTTACTTCCAGTTCCAAAATTTTCGACAATATTCTATATTTTATTGGTAGACTGTGGGAAAGAAGAGATGATGTAGGAGTCATCAGGATTTAATTGGTAGTAAATATAGTATGACTTTTAGTTATTTAATTCCAATTAAGACAGTTGTTTGATGTTGATGTAAAATATACTTGCTTGGACAAATTTGCATTTTGAGAGCGTGTGGCATGTTCTAACAGTCAACGATATTGTACTCCTTCCCAAGCACTATTTGTCAGATCTGTCATGTTTGTCTTCTCTGTCAAATTTAAACCATCTAAGCCATCGTTTATATTTAAACATATAAATCATCTATTAATGATGATTGATATGTTTAAATATACGTCTATAAAGTCATTAACCCCGCCATGTGTGAATGCTGTTGTTGGAAAATAGAAGAACATTCTACTACTCATCATTTCATTGCCATCGTCACTGACGCAACCACCACCAGTAGGTACCATCTGTATTGACATCAAAAGTTGCCGATTTTTGAATTTTACTGTTTACTAATTTGATTACACAACTCCATTGCATTGCAGCAACCATCAAACTTAGCACTGTTCTCAATATTAATGTCATTATGAGAATCACCAGTTTTAGAATATTGTAATTCACCCACCATACCCCTGCAGTCATCAGTGGCATTATCGATATTATAGTTACTGACACAAAATTAATGACTCTCGAAATGCACAATTTACCGTCTGTCCACTATCAATATCACCATGACCGTCTCAAGCACCACCGTTCACAGAGGCGGATTTAAAAATTTGCCGCCCTTGGGCTATCCATATAACTTTTCCTCCCTCTTTTTTGTGGGCATCGCTGTAGGCCTCAGGCCTTTCGTCCCTTTTACACAACCAATAATATTTCAAGAAATTCTTAAAGCATTGAAACTTTGTAGTCTTTTAACTCGGGTCTAATGATTAAGATTAAAGGTCATCCTTTCTTTTGCGCTTGCTTCAGAGGTATCAACGACAAAAAACACAGCGTATATGAATACGTGTAAATACCACGCATCAAACACATTGCATATGATGGGCGAGCATCTCTTTGCATTAGAATCCAGTCACTGTAACAACAGGACCAGGCGCCTTTAACATTAATATAAATATAAAATTTCTGTTGCCCAAATTCTAAAATTTCATTAAAAAATAAAATCATAGACTACATATAGGCCTTCTATATAATAAAACAGGATACATTATATCGAATTTTTAACAAAGTTCCGTGATCTCCGGTCTCTCCTTTTAGAATTTTCTTTTTTTGTAGTCGTCTCTTCGTACTCAGTGATTCCGGCTTTTACAAAAGTTACATTTTCATAAATGTCAAATTCCTGCCAGTGATTTGTAGAGCTTGGGGGCAACGGAAAGGTCAAGATCAGATAAATGAAGTTTTAGTGTAGTCTTAGTAAAAATATACGTTTGTCCTAGAAACCTTTTATGAAACTCATTTTTACTCATTATAATCATTTTACAGTGGTAAATCGGTTGACAATGTCTTCAGAAAAAATGTTTTTTTTATAAAATTCTTTTTAATGTTATTTTAAATAATAATTTATAATTATATAACATTTTGTAAACTCTCTTAAATTAACGAATTAATTTTGTTATAAAATATAGTTCTAATTTTTCCGGGAAATGTTCAGAACGAAAACTTGCGTAGGAATGGCTTTGCTATGCAGTGTGAAGTAACATCTTTGATCGTCTAATCAATGTACTCAGTCTGCATTTTATACATTTATTAATACATTATAACATGGTAGCTATCATCATAAGTATGAATAATAATTTGCGACTCGCTCAGTAACCTATTTTTTTCTAGTAATTATATAATTTCGTTCTATTATTATATCTTTATACTCTTGTTTAAGAATTTATTTTACCTATTCGCAAAATTTACGTCCCCTTAAATTTGCCGCCCTTGGCTATAGCCCATTTAGCCCACATGTAAATTCGGGCCCGACCATACCATAATTACTAACATTATTAATATCAGATATTAATGAGTTTTGAAATTCACCAATCGCACTTCACATTTTACCACCGTTAAAACAGCAACGACACCACCACAACCGTTCCCCCTAATATTGGTTATCAGAAGTTATCAGTTTTTCAATTAAATCATCCGCCATTGCACTACCACCATCATTAACTCGATCACCATAAATATCATTAATAAATATTATTATTATTATTATCAACATACAACTTCCACAACTATAATTTATGGTTATTGATAACAATACTCCGGTTGTCATCAGCACTACAACCAACTTTTTTATAAACTTAAACAACCAACTTGTTACTATTAAAAATCCTCCCTTCGTCTCATCACTTACTATTTCTAACCACCTCACCGCCAGTTAAATTAAAAATCTTTGAACTGTCTTTATGTCATTGTATGTTTGTATTTTGTATTTATTAGATTTGTACAGCGTCTCTATTGAGTTACCTTCATTGTATTTATCAACGTGCATGCAACTATAGGCTTGTTGAATCCTGAGTTGGACATATCGCCGCCTCCGACAGTTTTTCTCGCGTATGGTATAAGAAGAGCCCACAAGTACATACTGCCTCATTTATTTTTGGCCCTATCACCTGCTTTGTTAAAGTTTTACGCTGTTTAAGAGTGAGTTCAAGATTAATTCTACTAACCGTTTCTAAATATTTATTGGCAAATGAATTTTTAATTTTTAAATTTAAAAAAGAGTTATTAATTTCAAACTATTTATTTTATTTCAACATTCTACATTCAACTATATAAAAAACATATTAGTATAATAACAAACATTAACATAGCAACGGGAGTTGTTAGGTAGGATTTTACAAAATTTCATCAGCCTGTTATAACTTATTTAATTTCCGAACAATTGGTTAATTTTAATGTATTATGTTCTTAAAAATCTTTCTTAAGTTGTCATTTTATCATCTTTCAAAAAATATGTTGACATTATTATTAATGACGGCGCCTCTTATTTTTGAACAGAATTTATTGTGATATGGTTAACATTAAAAAAATTAAAATTATTTTAAAAATGAGAATAATTTTGCAACGAAAAGGTAAAAACAAAAAATCTTAAAACAGACAATGTAAAACGTTAAATGAAAGTGATTTTACAAAAAGATAAATTCATCATAAAAGCACGTTCCACATTAGAGCGATATAAAATGATGTCAAATAACACAAGACATACAAAAATGACATCTGGTTGACTGGATAATGGTTAATTGATTGAATCACTTATTTTCTTCGTCTTCAACGTTTTGTACTTGCTCTTCTTTTTGACTTGTATCGCCTGTATTAATAAATTGATTGATTGTTTGTTTGATTGTCTGATTGATTGACTGGTGGATTCATTCATTGAAATTTCATTTCTAAAAAAAATTGTTAGCTATGTTAACGTTTTCAGAATTTTAATCTTTATAATTATAAAATTATATTACTTTATTACCAAAATAACGAAATTGTATTACCTTCATCAGCCTGCATATCAGATGTCCAGAGCGTCAAGTTGTCTCTCAACAACTGCATGATCAGTGTTGAATCCTTGTAGCTCTCTTCACTCAAAGCATCTAGTTCAGCAATTGCTTCATCGAAAGCCGTTTTAGCCAACTGACAGGCTCGATCTGGTGATCCTAGAATTTCATAAAAAAACACCGAAAAATTGAGTGCCAATCCCAATCTTATAGGATGAGTGGGAGCCAGGTCCAATGAGGCAGCGTCACTGGCTGTTTGGTAAGCAAGTAAACTTTTTTCAGCTGCTTCTTTTCGTTGATCGCCTGACGCAAATTCGGCTAGGTATCTGAAATAATCACCTTTCCTACAAAGAAAAAAACGTTATAAATGCAGTTAATAACAAGAGCGACATGCAGTTCTTTACTTGACAATTAATATTTTTCGATTAGAAAAATTATATAAACTGTACCTGATGAATATATTAAAATATTAAAGCAAAATTTTAATAATTAAAACGCTAGAATTTGCTAACATCTTATAATAAAAAACTTTAGATTCTCCAGCACTTGCCGATGGGATGAGATTTTTGTCTAAAACGTCTAAAATGTCATCGCATATTTCTTTCAGTTCTTTTTCAATCTATTGGGTTGAAATTTAATTAATTTTATAATAAACTTGAATTTTGAATGCTGAAACATGACTTAAAAGAACCAACCGTTAACCGGTACTGTTTGATGAGATCCACCTTTGCGCTGGATCCTTTGCTCTCTTCTTTCTGCTCGATGCTGCTCACAATCCTCCATGAAGCTCTCCTCGCTCCAATCACGTTCTTGTATGCTACTGATAATAAATTTCTTTCTTCCACTGACAATTCGACATTCATTGCTGCCACTTTTTTCATGTTTTGCACCATTTCTGATAAAAATTTTTTTAGATTTTTTTCAAAACAAAATATTTCTGGATAAATAAAAATTTTTTGCGGTAATAAGTTTATAATTTTGTTTTTCTAAATTTTTTGTTATTATTGTATTCCACTATCAGGATAACTGATTTTTATGTTAAAATTTATCATTAAAACAATGAATTTTATAAAATATTAAAATAAACTCGAAATAAGCAAAAACTAATATTCCATGTTCAACTGAAAAATCATGTCAATTTAAGTAAAAATATTGCTTTTTGTTTAGAAAATAGTGGCTGACTGAAGCCATGGTTGGCTTACTTACAAAATTGCATGGGTTTCAACAAACAACTAATACTAAATATTTATTTGACTTAATGTGCATCTTCCTGTTTGCATCAAAATATTTTGCTCTTCAAATGATCAAAGTGGCTTTGCCCGCTTGGTTCCGGAATTAAAAAAAGAATTCAGTTTATGTACTAATTACTGACTGATTTAGATTTAGTGAGTTTCTACATACAATTCCGGCTCAAATTCGGAATAAGCGTTATTCTATGATGTTTCGATGCATTGGATTTGCAACCGTAATTTTTCCCGATATGAAATTGTTACTTGACTCCTAAATAAAGGAGTAGTTCTCATACATTAACAATATTTTGATTAATGTCTGTGGGCTATTCTTTTACTGGGTTAAAAATGATTTTGTTGAAACTGGTGCAAGGTTAACAAATGTTAAAGCCTAACATTTGCATTTCTCAATGGAACATCATTTATACATTTTTAAAATTAGACTGCTTGCCGATTCATGTTAATTAACAAGTAGAGCAAGAACATCTAAAGTTTTAACATCATTTCACACTCGAAATACATCTACGCAGTGCAGAGCTTAGTTAGACCATTCTTTATAACAACCCCGCTAGCCACCCATCTTTTTCATCCTCAAATCATTCGTTTGCGTTAAAAAAAATTTCAAGTGGTTATTAAAAGATGTAAATTTAAAAAACGGATTTCTGAAATGATAATTAAATTATTACAATATTTTTTAATTAAAAGCTTTTACTATCGTTGACAGTGCTGCCTGAACGTTATAGTGACGTATAAAAAATCACGCGTCACACACGCACTCACGATTAATTAATTATATTTTGTTCAAAAGCCGTGGAGTACCAAGGGGATAGCGCCGCCTCAGGACTCAGGCAACCTCAGCGTAGGAGCGCCAAAATTTGTATTAAAGCATTTGTAACTTTAAAATTTTTTTTTATTGACCGGGTTCGAATATGACAAAAAGATGTCCTCCTGTCACGTGCTTCGTCGTTTAGCACGTATTCATATACGCTGTTTTCGTGTTGTTGTTTCCTCTGAACCTATGAGCTATGTAATCGACCTTTAACCTTTTTTATCAGACCTGATTTACAACATTTAGCTACCGGAAAGTTTTTTTTCTAAACGTGCAATCCTTTTGCACAGGCTTATAGATTCTACAAATATGCTAATGATGACCTTTAACAACTTCTAGAGATGCTTTCACTGATGCGAGAACCTTCATATTTTATTCTCTATATTTGAATTTAATCAGTCTACCCAGCACCATGACATGCAATTCTTTCACCTGGGCAGAACAATATTTCATGCCAACGCAGCCCCGAAGTGAAGTGGCTAGCGATTTCAGATGTGTTAGTGTTGCCGCTTGCAAATAATAATTATAACTACAAAATCTTTGCAAATTATGCTAACACTTCCGTTCTGTGAGGGTTTATTTAGCAAACTGAAACTCATTTTAACGTATCAGTGAGCTTCAATTAAATGATATTGTTTGTCTGGCTCAGCACTGTTCAGCATAGAAAAGGAACTACTGGAAGCAATCAATTTCGTTGAAGTTGTTGAAAGCTTTACATGTACAAAAAAAATTACAAAACGTGCCCTTATAAGAAAATACGACTATCACTACATACAAGTTGTTCGCTAAATTTGTTGGAGTTGTTTTCAATATAAGTTTGGTATTGCCTACTGTTAATCGATCTTACGCAGTTATATAAATGTAAAGATGTAAATATATATATATATATATATATATATATATATATATATATATATATATATATATATATATGCACATGTGTGCTATAGGTAATTTGTGCGTTTGTATTGATTTTTATCAGATTAAAATAGATCATGAAATTAGTTTTCCAACGCTAAAGGAAAAAATTGCGTTCCGTACTAAATAATGTTACTAGTCATGCACACAAAACTATTTTGTAGTATATATTTATAGATGTATTTTCAAATTTAACAACTAACCATCGTAACGCTCTGCTTGCTCAGCCAGCTTGGCTTTATAGACACAATCTTCCTGGTCGGTCATAATGACGTGTGTATCTCTACGTGATGGACGAGTGTTTACAAAAATAATAAAACGAATAAGAGATGTTTATCTAGTTAGGTGTATAATTTTAAATTTAAGAATTTTTTTCAAAATTTTTGCAAATTAAAGTTCAATTTAAAAAAAAACTAACATGTCGATACGATATTCAATGCAGTATTCTTTTCGACCTTCTCCAGCGATTCAAAAGCGACTAAAATTATGTCTGGGAAGGCAGGCGAAAATATTCAAATGGTTCTGCTGATGCTTTGTTGCTTCACGAGAGCATGCAGCCGCATGTTGCTTGACAACGCCGTTCTTTGATCAATAACAGTGCCTCCTTCACTGCAATACGTGTGTGCCTTCCTGCATATATCTCTTACTACATGTGTACGATTATATATTATTTATATCTAAACGTACACACTCGTGTATTATTAATATGACTATATATATATATAATATATATATATAATTTTCATATATATATATATATAATTTTTTATTTGTATTATTTTTATGTAAACATATTTATATATTTACAAACACCCACACTCACAAATATATCAAATCAATTTATTCAATCAAATCAAAAGAAAAAGAAATTATTCGGAGACCAAAAAGAAATTAAATTCTAGTGTGTAAGGCCACCGTGTGTCACTGTTTGAAACAAATAAAAGTCAATATAATTAATTGTCTTTAGTCCTGATCCTACAAACCGAAAATTTAAATTACTTCAAGTTAGTGATAGATTATAATATCATAAAAATAGCAAATAAAATGGTAAGCATTAATAATTTATAAAAACAGAGCCTTTTGCCACTAAATATTTCTTCTATTTATTTTTAAATAGATGTATAGAACCACTGCTTTTTTATGTCCAACGGAAGTGTTTCCTATATTGCTGGTCTAGAAAGTTTTAAGCTTAAACAAAGTAGTTTAATTCTGGCTGGCAGATTATAAAAATTTGCGTATGACGTTTTAATCTAGATTGCACAAGATCGCCAAAATGAAAAAAATTTCATATATATATATATATATATATATATATATATATATATATATATATATATATATATTGGAAGGAAACCATATTTTATACTACGGCATTGTATGAAATTCTACCGAATTATTGGCATTAATCAATTTGATGTTTGCCTTTTCAATTTTCCTTGCTAGAAATTTCTGGAAGTTGCTCAATTTAATGAAAATAAAATTATTATCCAAGTTTATCATGAAAATTTAATAAAACTGTTGTTATCCAAATTCATCATTCTGATAGGCATTATTTCGATTTTTCACAAATCATCTTCATTGCAGCTTCGGCTTATATAGTTTCTTTTGACAAAGCAAAGTTAGTTTATTAGCAAAGTGAGTTACTTACTTGGTGTCGTATTCTTCATCTCCTTTGTTGTTATTATTTCCTTGTTTTTCATTGCTACTAGTGTTAGAATTAAGGAGTCGAGTTCGGCGATGTAATCATTCTTTGTTGGATGTTTATTTGAGGTTTATTGGTATCTATTAGAACAGGTTCTGCAATTTTTGGATGTATTGTGCAGTAGGTATTTTGATAAATTACTTTTGTGTTGTCAAAAATTTGGCGGGTTATAAGATTTGGATGTGTTGATTGTAAGTGAGATTTGATGGCTCCTCTTTGTGTGTGCATTGTGAGATGTCTTGATAGTAAAATGGTCGTAACACTAATACACAAATGTTGTTGACGCGCACAGTTATTAAATTTTCATGATAATAATTCTATTTTCAACAAATTGAGCTATTTCCAAAAAATTCTAGTAAGGAAAATTTGAAAAACAAACTTTAAATTGATTAATGCCAACAATCCTATTGAATTCATATAATACTGTATAAAATATGGTCTTCCAACCTATATATATATATATATATATATATATATATATATATATATATATACATTACTATATGTATATATAATATAATGTTGGTAAAAGACCATAATTAATGTAGTAATTTATAAAATCTACCGAATTTTTAAAAATTTAGTAGATTTCATAAATTACTGTATAAAATATTTATATAAATAATATATATATATAAACAACGCATATATATATTTATAAATGATCATATATAAATTCATTTGATCATTAGTTCAAATTTTTCCAGCTTTTGATTTTTCCGGGAAATCGGATAGGCGGTTTCGATTGACCTTTCCATCCTAGCCTGTGAAGCCAGCCAGTTGCAATCCGTGGTACCTGCTAACTAATAGGTCATCTCGCTTACAACACATTTTTTAAATGCCTTTTTGTTATACATCTTTCATTGATGTTATTAACTTCAATAATAATGAAGGACAAAGGAATGACAACAACAAAGATGAAGAAAACGATACCAACAAATAAACTTTGCTGAAGAACTTTACATTGCTTTAAGAAACTTTATAAACCAAACATACACTAAAGAGGATTTATGAAAAATCGAAATAAGGCCTTATCTGCATGATGAATTTGGATAACAACAGTTTCATTATATTTTCATTATGAACTTTCAACAAATTGACCAATTTCCAGAAAATTTTAGTAAGGAAAATTGAAAAGACAAATTTAAAATGAATTAATGCCAACAATTCGGTAGAATTCATACAATACTGTTAATATATATATATATATATATATATATATATATATATATATATATATATATAACAGACTTAAAAATATGATTTATCTATGAATATATAATTTTTATGTCACAAATTTGGAATATTACATTTTGCTTTTTCAAGTGCGAGTCATGTTTTTAACATCACTGTTACTTTTCATATAACTCACTAAATAGATGGGGTTGCCTGTTTGTAAATTTGGAATTCGGTTGCATAGTTTCTCAGATCAACGTAATGATAAAAATAATAATATTTTTTTTCTACAACAATTGAAATTTTTAGTGCTCCTTCCAAAAAGAGACCTCACAGCCTAAGACTCTAAACATTTTTTTTATCCACGGGTTTTCACATTAGGAAATTGGTTCAATTTTAAAAACCTAGAACTTGCTTTGAGGCTATATCTTACCAGGACACCTCTGTTCCGGATGAAGTACTTGTACTTGTACTTCTAATATTTTGATTTATAACAATTAGAGCCTTTTAAGCACTTAACTTAGATAAGATTTTTTTTACCATAATTAGACATAAACAAATTTCTATATCATTTGATTGTTCTGATATTTTTATTTGATTTGATCATCGCGATTTGTATATTTGTAATAAATGCAATAAATAAAATTTTTTTCAGTTTTGTATTTTTTAAATGATTTGTGTTGATCTCATGGTATTTTTTACTGATATTGCCATATATTAGAATACCTAAACTCCCCCCTCAAATACACCCGCACACATTTTGAGTTTGCTTTAGTCTGGTATCATTCTTTAGTTTCCGTGAACGATTCTATATCAAATTTTACAATTTTTATGGTTTAATAACAATTTTCATTCAATTTTTAAAGATTTTAAAATTCTTTTTCAATTTTTTCAATTTATAGATTTGCATGATAATTTGCATCATGTTTAGTTTTTTTGTCTGATGTCTAAAAAATCGTAACGATTGGAGACCATTTTCATTTATCATTGGATGTTGCCATTGTATTCTTCCAGTAATAAATCTTTTTACCGCATGCAACATCCATTTTAATTAATGCCGGAAACTTTATATATTAATTATAGTTAATTTTTAATTTTAATAATTTTAAGGAACCTCAGGATATAACGACAGCTAAGGTGTAATATAATGACTCTATCTTACCAGGTTAACGTTTAGGTCAGGTAGTATAGTTTAATTTCTAAGTGAAATTCATTGACTGATCTTGATGATTTGCTGTATATAATGAATGTGTAAGGTTGAAAAGTTTAATGGGTCCATTACTTTCTTTTCTTCCTATGTTCAGAGTAATCAACAAAACACAAACAACATATAGAAATACGTGCTAAACAACGCATCCAAACATAGCATGTGATAGGCGAGGATCTTTTTGTAACATTTGAACACGCGGTCAATGCACTCACTGCGAAGTTGCACCAGACAACCTTACCACTACCCAGATAGCACGATAATACGGGCCGGTGCCGGGCGAACGTCGAAAATTACGGCTATGTCCGGCATAATATGGCTGCGCATTATACATGTACGCTCCGACAGCGGTTCGTAGCACAATGGCCGGCACAATAATCCCGGCAGTCAGCCGTAATGTTCATTTTTTTGTTTAACAATAATAATCAACATAATTAAAATAAAAAACTCATATCTACTCATATCTGTATGTATTTAACACAAAAAATAAAGAAAATATTGTTTTTAAAATAATTACGGCGTTCATTCATTTTGCCGTCATTTTCCCGTAAAATGGTTTAACGCGTAAAATACTATGTTTATAATCGTATATATGTATATATATAAAAGCGTGTATGTATATATATATATCAGTAAGTTTAATGTCAGTATATTTCGGCAGGAGGCATACATATATATATATATATATATATTATATATATATATGAATATATATATATACATATATATATGAAATTGAAATATTTTCATTTGATTATTATCAAAATATTATTATAACCAATTAATTAAAGTCAGAACAGCATTTATTATCCAAAATTTAATATCTAATTTCATTTTCGCTTTTGAATTTCATGAGAAGCGCTAAATAAATGTACTTGATTTACTTTTAGTGGCGCGATATTATAAAGATTCCCTCTTTCTTTTTCCGATTGTTAGTTGCGATTGTGTGCTGTTTTCCTAAACTGCATTTAAATAATTGTTATTTACTTTAAGAAAATCGTTTAAAGTAGTCGCTTCGGTTGCATAAATCGTAATATTATTATCGTTATATGATCGTATTTGTTAATATTTATTTTTAATTTACCGACATAGTTCCAAAACACCACTAAAAAGACTATAGCTGTATAAGCAGCTATAGTATATAATATAGTATATACTATATAGCTTGAGAAGTAAAGAGAAAAACTTCAACTATATCTTTTCTATAAAGTATAATCTAAGGACGTCAAGGTTTAAATTTGAAATTTATTTATTCTAATTTTTCATGCTTTAGTTTAGTAACTCTACTAAATTGAATAGTAGTAATTTTGTTAGTATAATTTCAAATTTATTCAATTTTTAAATTTTAATATGCTTTTTTTATTTTGATTTTCATTTATATTTTTATTTACAACAAATAAGACATGAGTTCACGTTATTCCTTTGGTACTTCACATTCATCAAAATGGAGGAGATTGAAAAACATGGGCAAAACAAGAAATGTAAAAAAACAACCCATATTTATTACCGAAAAGTAAAGATTGTGTGCATCGAATGATGAAAGCATTGATGACGCACCAAGTCAGCCTCAACATTACATGGATGGGCCAGAAAAAAGAAAAGGAGGGCTGGTCAAGACTTCTACTTCGAGATGCCCTGATTAGTCAGTATTTTTTCCTGTTTCAAAAATTAAAATTTCTATTTTCTAATAATTAACGTTTTGTTTATTGTCTTTTTTTCTAGGATTAGATTTAGATTTCAATGTAATCAGTTTATTTTTCATTAACTCCTCCAGATGCCATACAAAAAAATCCAAGGACTGGGCATGCCACAGAGGCAGATTGTGATGTTGAGGTGAAAAAATGGCTTCGGAATGCACCGGACAGATATGGTGGAAGAGCCAAAAGGGAACAAGCCAAAAGCAGCACATAGATACCAATTGTTTATATATATATATATATAATGAAATTATTAATTAAATGAAAATGAAATACTGACTTCAATTCAATGAAATACTGAATTCAATTATTAATTTGTTTCTTAGAGTAAATATATATATATATATGTATGTATGCTTGTATGTGTATATATATATGCATCTGATAATGTGCATTGTTTCTTACTTTGTTGGTGTATATATGTTCTAAATTTATCATTTACTTTTTTAATTTATTTTTTGTTATCAAATTTTATTCATCAATCGTTTAATTTTAGATTTTCTGTTACTGTTACTAAACTAAATTATTTATGTTCTGGTTTTACCGGGAAATTTACTATCTGAATATATATATATATGAGTGTATGTATGTATATATATATATATATATATGCTTGATATTTTGCAGATAATAAAAATAATAAGATGTTATTGTCTAATATGTAACATTTATTTAAAAAGTGGGCCGATGTCGGCAGTAAAATTCGGACCTATACCGGAATGATTACGGGTGATGGTAATAAAATCCGGGTCGATGCCGGATCGAATACGGGTGCTGGCAATAAAACCTGGTCCAGCGCCGGCGCGAATAAGAGTGCTTACGATAAATCCGGGCCGATGCCGGCGCGAATACGACTTGTTGGCGCAAAAATCCGGGACGATGTTGGCGTGACGATTACGAGCCGGCGCCGGAACTTTTTTCACATCCATCTCCGTTTTGCTGCTGTGGACCGTCAACAAGCCGGCATCGATGCCGGCATTCGGCCAGCATTTTACCGGAAAATTTTGCTATCTGGGTAGGCCATCACGTTGGAAAAAGTATCAATTCTAATCTCAAATTATCTGATTCCATGATACTTATATTAATGGTATAAAATATAATATGCAAGATTATATTTTATGTACGTAAGAGTGGATTCTGTATACAAAATTTTTGGCATATAAATTTTTAAATGTTTAGGACCTTGGGACATTGACTTAAAAAGGCGATAAAGACGATTTTTTTTGTAAAATAAAATTATTACAAATAAATCAATCAATCAGTCAATCGATCAATCAATCAAATAACAAGTTTATAAACAAAGCGCCATTTCTCCAATGTTTAACAGCGCTCTTCAATGAATTTAACAAACAGATGGGTCTTGAAATCCGCTCTGAACTTCTTAAGTGGTGAAGTTGTTAGAGAAGGAGGTAGAGAATTCCAGAGAAAATGGCCAGAAAAAACAAACGCTGATTTAGCACAAGAGTGTTTAACACTTTAGGGATCAAAAACCTCTATTGGAACGATAGAGCAGCGATAAAAGTTGGTAGCAAGATAACTAGTTTTGTCGTAATAAAGAAAGATGTTAGGCGAGGCCGTGTAGCCTACTCTCTCCAGATCTGTACAATCTCATATAGTGAGATCAGCATGAAAAAGATAGAATATCTTTCGAGAATATTTATCGGAGGCGCGAGTATAAACAATGTAAGACATGCCGATGATACAGCTCTCATAGCAGATTCAATAGAAAAATTGCAAACAATTGTTTCCAAACTAGTTTTTGAAAGTGAAAAGAAAGGCTTGAAAACTAACATCAACAAAACAGAGTGCATGGTTATCAGTAAAAGCAACCAGTCAACAGCTTCAATTATCTCGGAAGTCTGATTACCTCATGTTGTAAAAAGAATGGGTATCAAAAGAATGGGTATCAAAAAAAGGATAGCTATGGCGAAAGATGAATATTCTAAAATGAAAAACATCTTCACCTACAGTAAAATCAGAATATCAACAAAATTAAAACTGTTTGGATGTTACATTTTTTTTCTGCTAACTTACGGCCCTGAGTCCTGCTGGACAATTTCTAAAGAAATGTAAAAAAAAATGGGGTTTTTGAGAATTACGAAAATTAGTTGGACCTCCAATACTTCGAATGAGGATGTTTTGAAACAGTCCGGTTTTGAAAAAATGGAAATTACTACAGACAATTTGATGGGGGCAGTTAAAGTTTTTTGGTCACATCATGTGGAAAGAAAGAATGGAAAATCTAACAACTACTAGAAAGATTATAGGGAAAAGAGATCGCGGTCAACAACGAATAACATTCGTGATGTCCTTGTGTCACTTGTTGAATATCAACACATTTCAACTAGTACAAAGTGCTAGAGATCGGGTTTTGTGGAGGTTGATGGTCGCCAATGTCCCGAAAGCATAAGGTACGAGAAAGAGGAAGAAGAAGAAATAAGAATAAGAAGATGGCTGTGAACCGGCCGTTTAGGTTTAATCAATATAAATGATCCTACTAAAAAAATAATTGTGCTCATTGAATTATATATATAATTCCATTATATATAATTCAAATATAATTCAATATAATTCAATTATATAATTCCATGATTGTGATTGATTGAGATTTGTACATTAATGTGCAAGTTTTAAAAATTATTTTGCGATTTTGTTGTTCCATGATTTTAAAAAATATTAACATGATACTAAACTCAACTTTTGGTAAAAATTAAAAGGATAGAGACAGACGATCGTGATGGAGGCGCGTGTCGAGCACGTCCTTAAATATTATTTCCTGAGTGAGTACGTCAAAGAGTTCCGTGCAACGAATTGTACGCTTTTTGATTCATTCATTGAGTGTAAGTGATTATAATGTTAAAACTTTTATCTTTTATCTTTGCTTAGCTTCGTTTTGAAAAATTTGAATACGACGACATATTCAAATTTTTTTCTTATACAATAATACACTACTATTTTATTTATTATAAATAAATATAAATTATTAATAAATTATTTTATTATAAATGAATTATTGCTGTTTTTGATTATATTGTTATTTTGCGTCATAATGAGGCTACCTAGCAGCATCATCCATTGAAAGCACCATTCAACAGATACTACTGCAAAATAACAGTATAATAATTTATATAATTATAATGTAATAAAAAACAGCTATAATAATAATTATGATATTCAATCTCTCGCATTTGCATTTCATGTTTTTATTCATTTTTAAAACAGCAGTAATTCAATCATGTGAAATGACTCAGATTTTTTAAAGAAATATGTCATATACTTGTATATATATAGAAAAACTATTTTTATTGGGAATATAATCATAGTAAACATAATAAATATAAATGATAAATTAATAAATAAATAATAATATAAATAATAATTATTATTATTAATTAACAAACACAAACGATGTTATCTAGGTTTTCTAGCATTGTGTAGGACCCCAGCTGATGAATATTCAATGTTATCAAATTGGTTGCTAGCAATATCAAAGTGTATAAAAGTCCATCAATTTGATGAATTCATTGAATCTGCCGAAAAGGCACTGGAGTTGAGTGTGGAAATAAAAAATATTTGTAAAGCCATTGTCCCTGAAGTTTCATTTGATGAAAAAATCAACATAATTAACAAAAACATTGAGGAATTGGTTAAATGTTATATTTATTCATTTTATTTCATTTTTTTTAGTATTTTTGATGATTCATTTAAATTTAAATTTATAATGGACTATTTAGCTGCATTAAAATGTTTTAAATTAAGATCATGAAACTTATAATATAAGTCTTATATTAATAATTTTTAATTTTACATGTAACACTAATTGTTTTTTTTTTGTTTCATTTATTCATTAGTTCATTCGAATAAGTTATTTCATTAGTTAGTTCATTCATGTCCTGGTTATGACATTAAACTGACTCTCACTGCCTTGTGAGTGATGTTGGATCATCAAAGACTAGGCCCACCGCTTATAACTGTGGTTGCGTAAGGAAGGGCGTCCTGCGTAAAAATTAGCCAAATAAATTACTTATGATGGAATGGCGTCAAGGGGTATTTTAGTATCATCATAGGTAGCCAAACGGCAACCCCCGATCTCGGGGAAAATGTCGTCTAAACGTTTGTTGTTGTTATTCATTAGTTCATTCAATCATTTATTAATTATTTAAATAATTAATTAGTTTCTTCATTTATTCATCCCTTCATTATTTCAAGGAGGAAAGCCAATGCAGGTTCAACCAATGTGAGGACCAAGGTGAGGTGGAAGTTGACTCAGCCAGAGGGCAACTGAAGGAAGCAGTGATCATCTTTTTTGATGAATTGTTGAAATTTTTCCCCGATGTCGGTCTTACCAAGGTTAAAAATAATTAAATTATTATTATCAATTAATTTTATCATAGTTACTGCATATATATATATATATTTTTTATCTTTTTTATACTTATTATTAATTTATTTATTGTTCTACTGTAGATCAGACATAGACAGTAATAAATGAATGCACACACACATACACACGCACGCACTCACACACACACACACACACATACATACATACATACATACACACACACGCACACACACAGACAGGCAATAAATTGTTGTAAATGACAAATTAAAAATCATTTTATTAAGTATCTTATTAACAAGTATTTTTTACTATATTCAAACACAAGACATTAAATTATTATTAAAAAAAATTGAAAAACACAGATGATAATTAATAATGATCTGGAAGCTAATGATGATGATGAAGAAGAAGATAGTAATAATAATAATAATAACAATAGTGATAATAATAACAATAATAATAATAGAAATTCATCATCATCATTATCACCAACAACTAAGAAGATAAGGTCACAGCAAGAAAGAGGTGATGATTTTTATGATGATGACGATGATATTGATGGTTTTCGAAGTAAGTTTTGTGTGTGTGTGTGCATGTATGTGCGTGCGTGCGTGCGTGTGTGTATGTGATCATAGTGTAATAACAATTGTAATTAAGGTCATTGAGTTATTGTGATAATAATTTTTAGAAGTTAATTAATTTTCATGCTGTCTTTTCTTCTGCAGATCAGATCCTGAATGCGCGAAGGAAACGCAGAAGAAGGTGGACAGAGGATGAAGAGATTGAATTTGTTGAGGTAGTTGGCAGGCATGGTGTTGGAAAGTAAGTGCCAAAAATTCTAAAGAAGTTATTTTTGATATTTGTGAAGCGCTATGAATTTAAGTATTAAGTTTTGATAGATATAGCGCCAGTTTTAATATCTTCACGACTTCAGTAGATGTTAATAAGCGTCACAAATGAATGAGTGAATGACTGAAGAAGTGAATGAATAAATCTGCTTAGGGCTCTACTAGGAATCAGAGAAATCAACAACACGCCACACATCGTATACGAATACGTGCTAAACGACGCATCGCACGAGATGGGCTGTGTGTTCGAACCAGGTCACGCACTGTGAAGCAGCACCAGGCCACCTTAACCTCTAGGCCATCACGTCGCCCAAATATACGAACGAATGAATATATTTTATTTTATTTTAATTTGAACAAAGCACAAAAAAGTAAATATACTTGTAGTAGTGCCTTAACTAAAATGAAAAAAAATTAATTATACAAAATACATTGAATAAAATATGTCAATGACGATCACTGATGTACACGCGCACACATTACACACAAATATAGGCGCATTTACATTTCAAAGATAACTAGATAAATATTCAGTTACCAAAAAAGTATTGGTAGATTAGATACACGTATAAACGAGTATCCAATCTACCAGGCAAAACTTAATGTAATTTAATTTAGTGTGCAACAAAGAAACAACTAAGAATATTATCATTATTGACATATTATGAAAAGTTTACGGTATAAAGTTCATATATAAACAAATACATATAATAAATAATAATTAATTGAATAATAAACTAATAAAAGTTATAAATTTTTCCCGTCAGTTGGCAGAAAATTAAAAATGCCGGCCATTTTCCAAACAGGACGGCTGTTAACCTAAAAGACAAGTTTAGAAATCTACGGAAAGCAGATAAATTAGTTGACATCGTAAGAAAAATTAGAAAAAAATTACTACATTAATATTGACATTATTCGTTTTTTTAAGATTTTTGATTGACTGGTATTGTTATTGCATGTTTATGCTTCATTCCTATTATTTGTTTAAACAAGAAATGATTAAAGAATATTATTGTTTATTATATTATTTTCATGTTGGTTTGTTCGTTCCTTCACTGATTGAAACTGGAAATGGTAGTGATGGCGCATATATAAGCTAAACGCACTTAAAACGTATTCATTTAAGACTGTGATATCCACATATGTATATGTATGTATGTCTCATTGTGTTACTATATTTGTTAAAAATGAAATACCTCTAACACATAGCTCAAATGTGTATTCCAAGTAAATGATAATCATGGGAAGGCCTGTCAATCATATTGGTCTCTGATACATCCCTACAGAAATTTCAAAATTTGGTGAATGGAAATTTTGCGGATAACTGATGAATCCAGACTCTAAAGCGCACTGAAAATGTGCAAAGGTGCGTTCAAAAATCATCCATGTAAATTGTAAATTAACTTTTAAACTTATTTAAAATGAAAACCACGTGCTTTATCTTTGCTTATTTTTTTTGATTGCTCCGTCGTGTTTCTACTCTTCAAACGGGTAGCGAATCGTTGTTGACCTGCGGACAATCGTAACCTCCGACTGCGCTTTGAAGTTTCCGCCAGATGGGTACGTTATAATATAATTATTCATTTAGTATGTTTTGGTGAAAAGTTCTGTAATTCAATTGCAGAGCAGAGTAATTTAATTTAATTTTCAATTCAATTTTCGATACTGATTTTTCGTCTGCATATTTTTTTTCTTCTGGATGAGATAAATAATTTTTTTATTTAATTTCATTAATATAATTTAATTAATTATTCATCGTTCTTGTGGGGCTAACTGGCTAACACTAAGCTAAGTTGTAAGTCCGTGTGTAAAAAAAACTTAAACTTAAGTAAGTGTTGTAAAGATGTAAGTATTAATAATAATAATAATAATAATAATTTATTATGTAGTATGTTGGTAAGACGTAAGACTGGTTTTGGTTAGGTGTGTAATGTAATGGTAATCATAATTTTATATTTTAATCTGAAGAATCCTACTTCTTAATGAAGTCAAAAATTGTTCTCTTGCACTGGCTACCTATAAAATATAGAATAATTTTTAAAATTTACATGTTCATGTATAAGTCTCAATCTAAATTATTTCCTAAGTTTTTATCAGATATATTAATTGAACCTAAACGTTCCGGTTTATGATCGTCTTCTTCTTCTCGCTTTTTCTTAACTCGTGTTAAACACTCTTTTGCCAAATCTGCTTTTGCTTTTTCTAGTCCTTTTCTCTGGAACTCTCTACCTAATTCTCTGACTACTTCTCCATCACTTGCGAAGTTCAGAGCGGATCTCAAGACCCATCTGTTTTCAAAATTCATTGAGGAGCGCTGTTGAACATCGCGGAAATAGCGTTTTATAAGCTCATTGATTGATTGATTGATTCTCAAGTTAAAGGGCTGGTTTTTAAAAACTTGCACCAATAAAATTTCACAGTCAAGTTCTTTTTGTAACCATATGATAAGGCTATCGCTATATGTATGAAATTGATCCACTAAAAATAAACAAATCTTTGATTAAGTCTAGAATATCCTTTTTTGGGTATATACCACATCCATCTAACACCTGGGACTGATCTCAGACTGCCATTTTGATCTTGTGTTCACCAAAGTTGGTGCAAACACGGAACATCGTATCCAGTACAAAAATCATGCTTTACAATTTTGAATTACATAGTTGTGTGAATTTCTTGTATGATATGCTTGTCTTATGTCAGTGGATTTTTAAATTAAGAATTCTGATGACATGTTAGATGTATGTTTTAGTTTGTTGCTCTGATCCAAGTTGCGCAATTGATTGCAAATGCCTCATATTAATTTTTCTTGTATCAACACAAAAGTGTAAGCAAAAGTTTATATGTGAAGTCAGTGTATTATAGAATCATCATATAGAAAGTCAATGATTACAATGACTAAACAATTGCCAGAGGTTTAACCATGGCAAAGTATCACTTTCTTGTTGTGATCTGATTTTTAGTTAATAATTATTTCCTGTTCACCGCTTGAAATATTTTTTTTTTTTTTTCAGATTCTGAAGAAAATGGAATGGAAAGCAATGATTTTATAGATGAATGTGATTCCCAAGAAGTCATTGAAGTGGATGACAGTCTCAGTGGTGCAGAAGGTAAAATAACATTAGTCCAACATGTCCAGAACTTGAACAGTGAATGATCAGCACTGACTCAGTGTTATTTGTCCAGCGCATACTCAAATGTCATTATATAAACAAAAATTCACAATCTTTCGTAAATTTATTTGTAACTTTACCTTAACTAACCTAAAAATTGGTTTTAATTGTAGAAGGTACACTTTGTTGTTAAAAAAGGACTTGCGTGTTAGGCTGTTTTCAAAGTTTCATCATCATAGTCTGCTTGTTTGCAAATGCATAAATATGCTTCGTCTGATTTAGAGTATGAAAAAAAACCAATGTGCTTAAAGGGATTGAAACGATTGTCAAAGTGGGTTTGTTCAAGGATTCAGATGGAAACATTGCACAATCGCACAAGCTTTTCAGAGATTATCAGCTTTAGAAATCAGATTAAATTGTTTTTTTTTTGTTAAAAAATACTCTTACATTAAATATATAAATAAACATTCTTATGAACTACATGCATGAATTTTTTTAAAAGATTTCCTAAAAAATTTTGTTTTAATTAGAAAATTTTGAAGACGTCAAAATTAAAGATGAAGATGATGAAGAAGATGAAGATGATGAGTTAATTAATTTAAAACCAGAAAGAGATGATTCTTCATTTGTGTTCTCTGCTCACACAGGTTTGTTTATCTATTATATTCCTAATTTCTTGAAAGTTCACTTTTAAATATTCAGATTTTATTCGGTTTTAAAAGCTGGTTGAGCTTTTTTGGTCACCAACATTTTACAGGCAATAAATGAATGATATGTTTGCTGACGGAAATAGTGGTTAAATATTTGTTATAAGATCTTGGTTGGCTGGATTTTATTCAGACTGCCTTCCATTGAAACTGCAACTAAGCATGATACTTTTTCATCGTTATTTGTTTTAATATCACTCTCGAAATATTGCTGTTAACTTCAGACTCCATCGATATGTAATGACTGCAATACTTCTTTCTATATTCATTTTGAACAATTTCGTACCATGCATGAAAAATGTTCTGGATTAATATTTTGTCATTTTTTGATTTCAATTTTTATGCAGATGAAGTCTTCTGTCTGGCAGTTACTGGCAGTGGTGAGGAGTTGTTGGCAAGTGGTGGTAAGGATGATTGCTGTTTCGTTTGGAAGCCAACTGACGGCTCAGTGTTATTCCAATGTCCAGGTTCTTCATCTGTTTTTGCTTTTTAAGCTTATATCTAAGTTCACATTTGATTCATATAGTGATATGTATATAGTTTTTTATTACTGCAATTGGAAAGTGTTCATAACTAATCCCTTCGTTTATGGCAAACCTGTGTTTCTACATTTGAAAATTTTTTCCAATCCCTTCATTATGATAACAATAATCTCCAGCAAATAATCTACATCTGCATCTTAATCAACAGTTATTTTTCAACAATGCCGTCCAAATGTGTGTTTCCAGCAAGCACTCATTGCAGTTGCACTTCAAAATTTTGTAAACGTCCGTAATTTTCCATTGCTTATATAAATTGAAAATTTTTTTTCTTATCATTTTTTTTCTGGTCAAAACTACGAAATCAGTCTAAAGTGTAATTTCAAATGTTTGCATAAAATTCTTGTCAAATACTTTCCACAATTAATTTAAAATGCACGCAGAATACTATATTTCCAGCTTGCTGGTTTCTTTTTGGAAAGATATAAATTTTGAGTGGCCGTTTTTATTAAAAATTTTATTTTTGAGAGATTGGTATCTATTATTATGTGTATATACATATGCTGAACAGGCCACACAGAGTCCGTTGTATGTGTTGCTTTCAGCCATGATTCCAAGTACTTAGCTACAGGAGATTTGAATGGCATGGTTAAAGCTTGGGAAATGAAAACGGGTAAAGAAGTGTGGTTCTTTGAAGTGGCAGAAGTTCAGGTGCATATTCACACTTTTCCAATTGCTACTTTACTTCCGGCATACTATTTCCATATCTTTTAATAAATGTTTTCCACCTGTTGCTGGTTATTTTTTTGTTATTATTTTGATTAGCAGAAATAAATTTTGAATGTTAGTTGTTATGCTAAGTTGATCTATGGTAAAGTTGGAGATCCGTTCTGGGCGGGAGATGGATGTGAGATAATTTTTATTAGCCATTGTAATGAATGTCGTGTTTTATATAGAAGATAACAAATTTTTTGATTGTTGTAAGGTTGAAAAAACGGCTGCATACCCTTCAGCCAGAACTGAACTTGCCACTTCATCTCTGTCCATTTCCTCGAAAATAATTCAGCCCTATATTCATTTCAAATTGGATCATTTTGAATAATTTACATAATTTGCTCTGTTTATACTTATGTGTGCAAGCTTAATGGTTCTATAAATTTACCCTCCTATACTTTTCAAATATTTACTGCATTTTTGTTCATTGCTATTTATTTATCTTCTTAGCTCAATAGAAAATATTTTCATTGAGCAACTTTAAAACAATGCTTCATTAAACTTAATTTCATGGTTTACCTTTACAATCGAGTTATAGTGGTTAACATGGCACCAGAAAGTTTCATTCCTTTTATGTGGAGCTGTTGATGGCAACATCTGGCTGTGGAACGTCCCACATGGGCACACAAAAATGTTCCCAAACCACTCAGGATCAGCAGTGTGCGGAAGTTTTTTCTCGGATGGTTGGTTTCTGTTGTTAAATTAATATTCTTTCATTTTTTTTTTACATTTTTCGTCCTCCAAAATTTTAATGTAACTGCGTTGTTTAGATAATTAAAGATTTATTTACAAGTGGTTCTGGCTTGAACAATTTTGTGAAAGGTAAAAGAATGTGTGCAGGCTACGAAGACGGCAGCGTCAACATCTGGGACTTGAAAACTGTAACAAGCTTGTATTCTTTTCCTCCCTCCCCCAGACACCATTCATCTTCAGTCACATGTGTGGATTGTCACCATGGTAACGTACTTGTGGCTAGTGGCTCTTGCGATGGAACTGTTCTCCTCATCAAATCTTCTACTGGGCAGGTGCCAAACATCTTATCACTTCTTCTGCTTAATTTTTTTTTAGTTTTAATGTTTTAACTTCAAAATTTGTGAAAAATATTAAATGGTTTTTGGCTAAGACTTGCTTAAACCTTGTGAGAAATTTCATTAGCTGGAAATGTGAACATGTTATTCATAAAAATACAATATTGTTTTGAAGCCCAAATTAATCAACTAATTTTTCTAGCATAAAAGTATACAATCTGAAGTTTTAAAAAGAAAAAATATTAATGTAAATAAATATTTGGGCGGCGGGATGGTGTAATGGCTGAGGTGCCTGGCATTGTTGATACAGTGTCCGGGTTCGAATGCAAAAAGATCTCCGCCTATCACATGCAAAAGTGTGTGACACGTTGTTTCACGTGCATTTATGCACCGCGTGTTCGTTGTAATAATGATAATGCGCCTCAGCCGCTTGCCATGGCGCTGTATAAAATGACATTATTATTATTATTATCATTTGTTATCCTAAACGTTTACCTTAGTTTGACTATTTCAGTCAACATCCAATGCAATTGATTTTCCGTTTGCTTCCGATCTGTACAGTGTACAATTCAGAATTGCAGCGTTACGCAGACAGTTGACAAATTTATTCCCATTCAAAATTATTTTATAGATATTTATAAAATTATTTCAAACATTTTTTCTAGCTTCTCAATAAACTGAGCATTGTAACTGAACCCTCCACGAGTAGAATGGAGCAAGAGAAAGAAGATGCAGCTGACGAACGAGTCGAATCATTATCGTTTTCAAAATCGTTCTCAAGGTTTTGGATGAAAAAAATTATTTTCGAGTTATTTATTCTTGTTTAACAAAAAAATTAAATATTTGTTATATTGTGTTACGTCATGTAGTTAGCCATCTGTCATTAGTTATTCTTGGCATCTCTGTAGTTTTCTACCTTGCACTAACTCTCCGAGTGTTGTTCATTATCCTTCTTCAGTAACTCCAAACTTGAACGTTTCTATCTATCGCAATTTTTCGCTTCTTGCGATCTGATCGACCACCTTTTTATTTCATCTCTCGGCTAATTTATTTTTCGTGTTAAACCCTCAAAAACTAAGAATTTTAATAAACTATTTGTAATGTTTTCATTAAATTTCAATGAATTGTTCTGCAAACTTTTGCCCACCTACCTAGTGCATGTCTTTAAGCAGTTTTTAACAAATCTTTCATTTCATGCAATAAGGTTGATTGATATAAGAATTTTTATACATTTTAAATTATGAATCGCTTTCTCATTTAAGAAAAGCTATTAAGCTATTTGTGCCATTGCGGCAGCCTTTTATGTTATACAGTTTTGAATTCGAATAATCTTTTAAACGTCAGCAATCAGTACATAGCAGTGGGAGGTGCTTCGGGCAAAGTCATTGTTTATGATATAACGACAAACCACGTGAGACTTCAGAGCAATGGCCACAATGCAGATGTCGTGAAAATCGTGTGGCATCCGACCATGCAAGACCTCCTCTTCTCCTCGTCCGTGGACGGCTCCGTGATAATGTGGAATGTGAGGACTGCTCAACAGGTCCAGTTATACATCGGTCACGCTGCTTCCATTCTAGATCTTAATATCAGCAGGTCAAGTTTCATTATACTGAATTGTGTTGTTTGCTGTCTTGCTTCTCTTATTATCATTTTTTTATTTAAAAAATTTTTATGTTATAAGGATGTATAAGGTCTATGGAAATGTCTTTCATAACAATTTCTCTTTCCGAATGTTACAACAAATATTTTCCCATCATTTTTCGATTTACCGACTTGAGATCAATTGCTCGGTTAATGGTAATATTAACGTCCAACTTCACTTTCATATATTTCCAAGTGTTATAATTTATAACTGAAATGTTGAAGAATTCTTATTTGTTTAATCGATCAACACTTTTAACCACAGAGATGGGGAGAAAATATATACAGCAAGTGCAGACCATACAGTTAGGGTTTTTGAAACTAGAAAAAAAATTGACTGTCTCCAATTAAATTTATGCTGAATTTTAACCTAATTTATTTATCGTTTATTTAAAACTTGTTGACAGTTTATTTATTTGATTTTGAGTTTCATTTAAAAATTACAAATGTTACGTTTGTCTAACCTTTAATACCATATGTCTTTCCCAAAATCGTTTTCGTGTAGCTTTCCTTAAATTTTTCAAATTTCTTCTCATAGTCAAAAAATAATTTACAGTTGTTTAAGTGCTTGAGTAAAATTGTTACGACATTTCTATTTCATTGTCTTTATCCACAGAATTAGTTTGCTCTAAGCGACCCGCGAAAATTGTATGTAGTTTAACGTCTAAAAAATTTATATGGAAACCAGGGTTTCGGAAAGGTATGCATGATTTTTCGGCCACTTCATTACATTATCTTTGTCCTCTACACATACACGGTTTCTGGCATATGCCTAGAAATACTCTGGGTTTAAGAAACATGTTCCGAACGACGCATCACACAAACAATACGATGGGGGGATCCTATCGTCACATTTGAAGCCGGTCACTGCACGCACAAAACAGGAAGGACCTAGCACCTTTAACCATTGTGGATGTTTTCACCAAAGTTACAAGATAACGCTGCACCATGTTTCATCTTTTAAAAATATAAACGGCTAATCAGCGCGTTTGCAAGCATCTACTTGACTAGTCTACACATGAACAAAAAATTTCTGCTGACTTGAATATGTTTGCTGATATTATATATTTGAGTGGTTCCACATTTGAAATCAGAGATTGTGTAGTACTCCGAATTTTTGCACAAATGGCAATTCTTTCATTGATCTCCAAATAAAATTAACATTGATATACAATAAAAATTTTTTGATGATAAATCAATTAATTAACTCTTGTGATTGTTATAAATTGTGAAATTTTAATTGAATAATATCAATATGTTGAAAAACATACAAAAAATAAAATTTTAGTATAGTTTCGTTTATTTATCTCTTCTATAAAACGAACCTGTCTACTTAAAAAAAAGTGAAGTTCAATTAATAGGAAGATATTTTCTCTTGATTTTCTTGAATATTTTTTAACGCTGTAAACACCAAGGGTAGTCTGCTATCACGCTTGTGTTCCATCTGCCTTAGTATCTGCGCTCCATTGTCCTGTTGTCTTGGTGGAAACCTTCTCCTTGTTCTTCGCTCGTGGCTCAGAGGTTTGATAGGAAGTAATCGAAAAAAATGTAATTTTGCACTCATATATTTGCTCCTAGTTTTTGAAAAGTTACCCGCAAATTCTCCAATAAAAGATTAGAATTTGCTTCTTCGAAGTTTTCTAGTAAGTCCCTAATAACATCACACGAGCGGACTAAGCGTGTTTTTCTGTTTTTATGGTATTAATAAACTCTTAGTCATTGATTAGGGACCTGATTTGTGGACCATCAATTATACCAGCTTTCAATTTTTCACAAAATAGAACAGGGAACGTAGTGCATTAATACTTGGAACACTGTCCATTTTGATCCAAAGCTTTGACAAACTGTTTCATGAGTCCCAACTCTATATGCAGGGGGAAGCAAAACATTTTGAGGACTTATCTTAATTGTTGTTTAAACGTGTGTTGTTTGTTGTTGTTGTTCCACTCATTAAAGAAATCTGAAACATTTAAAAGAAAAAAAAACGTTTTTTTATTGATTTGTAAGACTTGACAAACTGATATCTGACTCAAGAAAAGTCAGTTTTTGTATTGAAAAATCAATTCGAGAAAGAAATTTGTTTTTCTGGAGCGTTCCTCGTCATGTAAGCGTCCAAACACTTCTGCACATGCACTTGATCATTAGAATCATTAAGGATGTATGCCTGTAACATGATTTATGGTTTTAAGCAAATTTGTTTGTGCTAATCAGTTATCGTATAATAACTTAAAACACTGAAAAAATATTAAAACCTTTCATCATAATAGTAATATAATGTAATTTCAGAATTTAATAATGAAGCATCGTACATTATAACAATGTTAATAAGAAATGTTAGTATTAAAAACTAGTAAATTGGACCAAAACCTTAAAAACTGTGCGGAAAACGAGTGAGCATGGCAAAAATGTAATATTAATTTGTTTATTGAAATTGTGTCTACTATGTTCCTGATGCAGTTTGTTCACGAAGTTTTAACAAATTGATTAAAATTTAAAAAAAACTAACTTGAATGAGCTGATAATTGTCTTTTGCATCTTCTCCCTTGCAGATGGCAACCGATTTACAATAGGGATGGATGATGTGGTACAACTGAACTAAGCTAACCGCATCATCTAGCCTGTGAAATGAATTTAAAATTTTAATTTGTATTGAACTTACACGGAAGCCTGTTAACTTGATACTGTAAAAACGTTGCTACAGTAAGTTACAGGATCAATTCAAGGTAGTTATTTATTCTGAATTGATTAATAAGTTCATTCGGACGCGCTCCAAAATTTTTGTTTATCTTATGCATGATAGAACAGAAAAACTTTTTTCGATATTCCTATATCATCTTCGGTGTTCAAATTAATATATTGTGTATGTGCCCAGATACTCAAATGTATATATACTGTGATAAATATTGGATTAAGACTGCCAGAATTGCAATTATTGATGAAAATCACAACATGTTCGGCGTTAGTTAACTTCCAATTTAACTTTTCGATTTTTCTAACGGTTGATCGAAAATCATTTTCAAGTTTCTTTCGTTCAAAACCAAAATTTACACAGTATATATATATTTGAGCATATATATACAGTTCTATATGGATAGATCGGTTTGGAAACAGAAGCTGATGAATGGAATAAAAAAGTCTGACCCCTATCGGATGGAGACTATAAACGAGGATTGATTGATTGATCGAAAGAATTTGAAAGAGTTAATTGCGAGAAAATATTTGTCATTTACATTTCAAATGAAGAATATTTTTCTACAAAATTAACATACTGATAACCAACCGGTTTTGAGAAAGCTGATGGGCTAATAATAAGTCGATTTTATTATGAATGAGAAAATAGAAGACCATGGATCCATAAAATCTTGTAAATCTTAAAACTTCAAATTGCCCAGATTGCAAAACGTGTTCAAACGTTCTCTCTGTCACCTGGAATGAAAATTTTATTATTTCCTAATCATTTTACATTAATTCAACTGAAAAAATCTTCATAATTCAGCATAAAAAAGATGTAACGTGGAAGATGTTCATAAACAGTAAAACTGATAACGTAAAGTAGAAATCATCGTCATATACATCTGAACTTATAAAATATGGCTCACAGTTTTGGCAAAAACAAAAATTATTTTTTATTAAAAAGTAATTAAGCTTTTTTCATCTATAATAATAAAAACCCATTGTTGCTCTGCTAAAAATATAAAACAAATGCAAAAAATAACGCAGGTAACTTTTCTTTGGGCATTCATATTAGTACGAAAATTTTTGTAAGAAAGTTACAATGAAAAACTATCATGGATTTGACAGTTAGTTGGGAATATATTGAAAGAAGCAATGAACAGCTACTATTTTAAAGATAAATTTACGCGACAATTTTGATGTGATGAGAAGAAGCATTCTTAATAAAACACTCACCCTGGTGTAGTTTGGATCGTCTGGTTCAAACTGAACGCAAGCCACATTTAATACATATTCATACTGATGTTTGCCAAGTAAGACCTGTGATTCATAACATCAAAATAAATAAACTTACGCATAACTAAAATGAAAATAAAAACCAGCGACATTGTGTAAATTAAGATATAAATTGAAGATGAATTGAATACGAACTGAAAACAAATTGAATATAATCTAGGCAGAAAGTTGAAAATTCTGGGAAAGAAAATTAAAAATTAAAATGTGAAACCAAAAGATTTTACAGGATAGAATAAAACTGCAACGTCAAGGACGTTCAACATGGTATGTTTAGTAGTTTTAAATGGAATTATCAGTGAGAAACATAAAATGAAATAAAAAGAAACACAGTTGCCATGAAAAGCTTTCAATGATTCTGTTATCTTCAGATACACTTCAAGCATCTGACAAAAACACACGTGCGTTTGCTCTGCGTTCAAAGTAGGCAACTGTGCACTGTGCAGAGCAGTCATTTGTAAGGGTAAAAGCACGTGAAAAGACAATTCTGCTGCCAGCCAGCTAACGTTCAATAATAGTTGTAACTTTCTACATCTTTAACGGGTTTGTGTCATTGTAGTTAAAGTTTAAAAACATTAATTGAATAATAAAAAACAGAAAAAGTCAATGAGATATGAATTAATAAATAACACTTCTGTCATAGAGGTTAAAGAATAAACTGTCTAAAATGTATTAAACATTTCTGTGTCAGGAAAATATCCACAGTTTACACAGTAAGGTAAAATAGACACATTACCCAGTTACTATCAGTTTTTTGAATGTTAACACGATTGACACTGATGATGAACAAACGAAAATTGAATATAACAAACAACCTCTAGCTGTTGTGGCTGGAACATCTGAGGCATGTTGTACATCTTACCTTCTTGAGGATAATACAGCATAAGGATCTTGTCACTTTCTTCCCTGTTGCACCTCCTCAAAACTCCCTCCTTATCTCTCACCACCAGCATCCTATCCTGAAAGATAAATTCAACAAATTTTGTTTGTAATAAAACTTTTACATTCCATATTTTTCAAAATTTGACTTATCCCATCAATTAATTTCTGGCTATTAATTTGCTATTAATTCTAGCTAAGACATATCTAAGACTTACGACATTTAGCAATTTTTTGATGTACTTACATGTGTTGTGCATTTTACCAGCATCAGCAAAACAGATATAATTTCAGATATCCATTCTTTACTTTCCTCCATTATCAACTTTCTGACTAGTGAATTATGAACTCAGCTTTTTTAATGTATTTATTGACAGTATTGCATTTACTTCATTAATTTCAACTGTCTTACTTTTATAAATACATTAGTTGCACCCCTATCTAAAATTAAATTGCATTTTTTTTGTATTCGTCATTTTTAAAAATTCTGTTTTCATCTTCAAGCTCTTTACTAGCTAGTAACTTGATTACTTCATTATTAAAAAATAGGATTGATATAATAAACAATTAATTTCTAATTTCAAGTTAATACAGCAATGTAAAATGCATTTTTCTACTCTTTTTAGGTCAAAATATTCTAAAATGTTATCTCAATTACAAAATTTGTCGCTAACTTCTTTGTTCCTATGTCAACTTTTTATATATTCTAAGATTTTAAATCTAAATAATTATCTTACTTCAAACTTCATTTCCTTACCTCACCATGATTTCTTATGAACCAACAACCTCCTTCTCACATAACTCATGTACAGGCAATAGAAACAGTCTTGCTTCAGCCCATTCATCGTCCATCTACATTCTCGTCTCACATCATGAACACATATTTGTACATACATTTCTATACATCTACTTCTACATAGATGCAAATAAATACATTTACAAAAAAAAAACAAAACAATAAAAAAATTTACCCGCCTAGGGATGCCTGGTGATATGTCAGTAAAAACGTAAGTTGAGTCATCCATCTCAAAATGTGCAATTTGTTGGTCGTTTGAAATTATAAGTTCATCATTGTTGTGGATGTTCCATGGTTTCTTGTAGGGAGGCATTTGTAATAATTTGTTGGCTCCCTTAAGAGACCCCTCTTGCAGCTTTGTGATTGTTATTTACAAGGTTATACAAATATTGCTGTGATACACACAGATATACAGAGGATATGAATATATGGTATGGTATATTATATATGTTTAGCGTGTACATGTCCATATAAAATACTAAAATCTGAATATGTTTTCTGGTTTACAGATGCAAGACATTGTAAAGCAGACAAATTTACAAAACAAAATGTTTGACACAATTTAAGCCCCCACAACATTAAATTTATGCTTGAAGAGTAAATTTTAAAGTAGATTCAATTAATTATTAATGCTTATGATTACATAACACTTGCCAACAAAAAACTCCTTTTGTCACAAAAGGTTCAAGAACTTTTGCTATAAGAAAAACTATGTTAGCTGACCATTGCAATCAAATAGAAAAATTTTTTTGACACACCTCCCTCAGTTGTTCATCTGTGACCAGTTTGTACTTAGGAGATTCTGTAACAGATACTTGTTTAGGAGAAAATATTTTGTTGATGTTGAAACCAGTTATTTTTGAAAGCAACATTTGAACTTTAGGAGATATGAACAAACTTTCTTCAACATCTGACTTTACTAAAATTTTTAAAATTGTTATTTTTAATTTTAACACATATCACAGAATCGAAATAATATTGAATAATAAATTAATAATTTAATATTAATTTTAAATTAAATTATTAAAAGCTGTAAAAATGATTGGTGTAAGACTGTAAGTGTGTAAGTAAAAGTAAAATGAAATAAAATTAAAAAAAACAACATCAGTAAAATAGAAAAGCACCTTTTAATTTATCAATTTTCGTAGAAAACGAACGAAGGAAAATATTGCTTCCGAGCTTTTTAAAATTTAACATTCTTCGACTCGTGGTAGGATCGGTGGAAATTAAATGGTTAATTAATCTAAATAATGATTGCAAACAAACAACAAACATTTAAAAGTGAAATTATTTCAAAAGAAGGTTTAGCCATGGTTTAGCACATAAGAACAACCATTATATAAATCCATGGCCAAAACAAAAGCTCGCAATTTTATTTTTTGTATAAGGTTTAGCCATGGATATATATATATATATATATATATATATATATATATATATATATGTATATAATATATATATTAAATTCATGGGTTTAGCACATATTCTAAGTACATGGCTAATTATATAAAGCTTTAAAAAATTTAAACAGCTAACACAATCTATCACTACGAAACAATCTATCACTACGAAACTTAGGTGAACAACAAGTTCGCAATCCAGGACAGAAATCGTTTCATATGCAGAATATCATTCTCAGAGAGTGCATTGAAACCTTCATACTAGCAAAAAAGTACCTTAAAAAAAATCATTCAGCAGAAAGAACACTTCTATAAAACCGTTTTTAACATCCTTCAAAATATTATCAGAAAATACTAACATTGAAACCGTGCTATTAATAATTAAACGTAACTTCTTCATCATACAAGTTTGATGAAATAGTAAAAGCGGTGATAGGCCCGGTTCTCTGACCTCTGCACTATATTTGGTATACAGCTGACGATATGAAAGTTGTTGAAAGCTCTGGCCTTAGCTGTCATTTATATGCTGATGATGTACAAATATATGGCTTCATCTCAAGTGATTCATTAAATGAGCCAGCTCATAACTACTGTGTCATATTTAATAAAGGCAGTGGAACAGTGGATGTAAGCTAACAAATTATAAGTTTATTCAATTAAAAAATGTATGTGGTTTGGCAGTTCACGAAAACTTCAGTTGGTGAAAGAGTTCAGACATCCTGTTATTGACCTAGGAGTTTGCTCTCGACCTGAATTCAGCCATGGGTGATCACGTTAACTCTGTCATCGATCGTTTCATCATATTCGACGAATTAAAAGAATCAGAAAAATTGGCAAGTACCTTAATGAATAGTTTCGTTTGCTCAAAGATCGATTTATGTATAGTGCAGACAAGTGTTATCTGGCGTTCGTTCAATCGGTTCTGAACTAAGCCGTCAGATTAATTGTACAAGTTTCAAAATTGGACAGCATTTCAAATTATATAAAGAACGAACTTCATTGGTTATTTGCGAAGAAAATAATCGAATTTAAAATAGCGCTCAGGTTCAGAAATTATTTGTCAGGAATTGCACCAGACTATTAAAATCAGTGTCTGATGTTCCTGATCAAGCTCGGTTGAGGTCGGCAAAGTATGGTAGCCTTATTTGTCCACTCTACAGGACATTTCATTTTGGGCCAAAGAGGTTTTTCAGTTGCGTTTGACAAAGTCTGGAACTCATTAAATGCTGATTTAAAAGATGTTACCGGTATAGACGTGATGTTTTAAAGTGTCGATTACAGCATCATTTTTTCAACATAATATAGAATATACAGCGTTTCTGACGACAACTCGATAGAGGCGATTATAAATCTTTTTTAATGCAGTAGGAAACAACGTCAAATTACTGAAAACAACTCATTAGAACTCAGGACCTAATACTTGTGCAAAAAACATTTTTTCTTACAATACAAAAAATACAAAAATAACGAATCAACACAAACCTCAAACTTATCTTTGAAATGGAAGGTACCGTAGCTATACAATTGCTAGGCTACGACGATTTTCATCTGCCTGATTTATTCATTTAAATGCAAATTTTGAAGTTGTTTGAACCAAAACTCTAAATGCATCAAGAATATGTGCATCAAGATGATTGCAACATCGTTAACGAAATCCATGTATGTAAATATGTACACTATGTTCATATGTACGCATGTCTCTGTTTGTGTGTGTGTGTGTGCGTGTGTGTGCGAGTGTGAAATAGAGGGAAAGAGAGAGCGAAAGAGAAAAAGAAAAGATCCCTGGCTTCAACTTATGTTAAAAATTGTTGTCAAGTGAAAGGTTTCATGAAATATCTTCATTCTTTTTCGTTAACTTTTTATTTATAAACAAATTTGATTACAAGTTAAATCTGATACCAAAACAATCAAAAAGTATTATCACAAATTGAGAAATAAATGCTGACAGGCAATCATCACAACATAGTTAACATAGTTCAAATTATGGTCTAAAAAACTTAAAAAAGACAAATTTCAGAAATTCGCAGATGCAACGAGGTTGAGTAATGTGTTAGGTTTCACTTTGCTTTAAACATTTCCACAAAAAAACATTAAGCTTCATGTTAGTGGAAAAATCATACATTAAAATGTGAAAATTAAATAAAAAGTAAATAATTATTTGAAAAACTTTATCATTAGAGAAACAATATCAAAATAGTAACAAAATTCATTGAATAACTTTATTAAATAACACACCAGCCACATAAATACGTAACCTTATTTTTGATATTACAAGTTAATAATCCGATTTTCATAAAAAAGAAAGACATTATCTAAAAAATGATTCTATATTACAGCAACATAACCTATATTTTAAATGCGTGAACACCACAATATAAAAAGTTAAATTTATAGTTCACAATTATTTTCATAGCAAAAACTATTACAAATAAGCAGGTTTAGGTTTTGATCATTTTTTTAATGCATTCTGATAGCTCCCAATTTAAAAATTGAAACGCTTCATTCTAAAATTTAAAGTTCTACGATGATTTTTGCATGCGTTGTTTCATAGATGGCTAATTTTTATTGCAAATAAACACATAATTGTAGCTATATTCAAGTAGAATCGGGAGTCTGCATTAAGAACATAAGATGACAAATATAAATGTAGAACTGTTATGGCATTCAAATCGTAATGCAAGGCTCGTTTCATAGATTGTTCAGTAACGGATAAGTTGACTGGCATTGGTGTGAAGATATTTTGACTCCACATAAATTACCTGAATCTTTCAAATGAGTAACAACTGTTTCTTTATCTGTAAAAATAGTTTTCAGTTTGTCTTTTATTAATGGTTATTATTTTAAAATAAATTTTAATGCTATTTTTAATTTTGTACTTTTAAACAGCTGAAGTGCTTTTGGTGTCATGCTGTCTTGCCTTGATGAGCAAAAAATATTTTTGAAAAATGTTTACGAATTAATAAACTGCAGTTGTGCACATTTAGCATGTTTTTTGATGTAGGTACTTGTGCATGTTTGCTAAACATCGCTAATTGTGATAACAAATTGTGATATATAAATTATACCAAACTGAACTATTAAGAGATCGAATAAATTATCGAAAAAGTGGATAACTGGTGAATACGGACGCACAAGACTGAGGGTTGTTTGAGCAACTAAACATATGACTGTTACAAATTATATGAAGAAACTGCTACTTTGGATGAACTCGGTTCACATACATTTTTACAATTTGCTTATGAGTATTGGTTTTACTACATGCAAAGTAAAAAATTACAAAAACACAGCATTAAGCTGGTAATAGCAATCGAAGCACAGGAAAAGTCGCGTTGACTTAAATATGTTTTTTGTACATTCTTTTTTTTAGAAAAGTGCAACAGAATATCAACTTTTTTTGTCACAATGTTACAAAAGTTTCCCATTTGAAAAAATTTACTAGCAAACTACACCAATGCTTAAAAACGGCGCTTCTATAATTCTATGTATGAGGGAAAACAATTTGAAAATTGTTGTGATTGAAAATCAAATATTTTATTGAAAAGACAAAATGTAAGTTTTTCTGTCTGAAAATTATTGAGGGGAAGCAAAAATATCTAGAAAAATAAAAATTAAGATTAATATATACATTGCTTTATTTTCAAATTATTTTAAGATCTTAACAATTTTTATTAGTTTTGATATGTTGAAAAAGCACCCAATTTCACTTCATTTTATACGTCATACTGACACACACACAACACACACACACAAACACACACACATATATATATATATATATATATATATATATATATACATACATACATACATATACATATATATATATATATATATATATATATATATATATATATATGTTTGTTAGTAAAAAACAATTTAATAAAATTTTAAACTTCTAAGCTCAATGTAGTTTAATAACCTTTACATAAATCAGTAAAACTCAAAATATTTTTGTTGCTAACACTGCATTGTAATAATATTAATTTGTTAACTAATTCGAAAAAATTCAGGAAAAAAAATTGAGGCAATTATTGATTCAACTGACCTCCACTCGATGTTTTGGATGTTTCTGCACTTATGGCATGCCTTCTTTGCATGACTAACAATCCTGGTTGATGATGAGGCATTAGTCCATCTTTTTTCCAATTTGCCACATTTCCGGCATTTAGGCCACTTCCTCCACATTTGGGTCTGACAGCTTCTACTGGTAAAACCCTTTGTCTTGTTTTTGGTAACTTAGCTCTAGCTTGTGTGTGTGAGTAGAACATGGCAAAATTACTGACAATAACAGGGACAGGTAAGGCAATCGTTAAGACACCTGTTAGAGCACAAATTGAGCCAATGAACATACCAACATAAGTTTTGGGAACCATGTCTCCATAGCCTACTGTTGTCATTGTGACAATTGCCCACCAAAGACCAACGGGTATAGAAGTAAAATCATTACTTGGATTAGCTTGAGTGCGTTCCGCGTAGAAAATTAGTGATGCGAATATAACAATGCCTAAGATAAGAAAGAATACAAGTAGACTGAGCTCGTGAGCACTTGCCCTGAATGTGTGAATGAGTATTTTGAGACCCGGAGAATGTCGCGTTAATTTGAAAAGGCGCATTATACGAATGATACTGAAAAATTCTAAAACATCATTGTCGTGATTGACTTGGTTTAATATACTATCCAATACAAACGATAGTGTTGCCACAATGTCAATAATGTTGACTGGCTTGCAGATGAAACCTTTTAAATCAACAAATTATTTATTATGTTAATTTAGTATTCAGATAGCAAAACTACAAAAAAAAATATATTTTTACAAATTAAAAAAAGAAAATTTAATAATTTATAAAACCTACCCAACTTTGTAGGGCTGAAGATATATCTTATAGAAATTTCAAAAGCAAACCAAGCATTGCATACGCTTTCAATGTAGAAAAAAACTTTGTGTGGTTTCGATGAAGGACTGGAAAAAATTATTTGAATTCAAATTATTAATTTACGTGGTAGACAAAAGAACGGAGTAGTAAACAGGAAATACAAATATGGCGGATATAAACATTTTTAATTATAAAAATCCCAACGTTTTTAGTATTACTTAATTCGTTGTCAAGTTTTCTAACTTTTTAAACAAATATTTGTTTATCGATATTCATGTGATTAAGATTCAAATTTGAAAACAAAAACTCACGTTCGAAATAGAGAAAACTCAACTATAATTTGAGTTATCTGCAGAACGCAGTGAATTTCAAAAACTATTGTACATATTTATGTTAGCCTTTACATAGTACATATATAAATTGAACAAACAAACAAACAAACAAACAAACAAGAAATTCATCGCCAAATTAAAATTTTTATGTTCGGTAAACTTTTGACGGATCAAATTTGTTGACATAATGAAAACGATTATCAAAATATTTTGCACTCGGGACCTTTGCATAAATTAGGGTACAACAGTATTTAAATAATGTAAATAAATTATAATTTAATAAAATAAATTGCAATTAATTATAAAAAATACATGAAATTATCATTTTAATGATTAACAATATTTTACACCTGCTTGATAGAGTTTTTGTTGAATTATCTGACTGGTCAAAAATTGTTTCATTGTGAAGGGTTGAGGTACGAAAGTCGTGGTGTGTCTTCAGGCAGAACGAGAGGATGGACATGACAACAAAGAACACGGATATGAATGACACTATCTACAACAGAAACAATTAGATTTAAAATATTTATATTTCTTCTATACAAAATCATTTCTTCATTTTTAAATGTTTCTTTATTTTACAATTATTAAATCTGTGGCACAAAGTTTGTAAGTTGATGTTAATTTATTAAATTAAATTATCTATTAAGACATTTGATAAGAGTAGAGTAATAATATGAACAGAAAAAATAAAATTAATTTGTCTGTGAATGTTGACCAGATATTTTTTCAAGGGCAAACTTCTTCTTTTATTGCGTCCCATCCTTTCAGGACATTGGCGATCATCGACCTCCACAAAACTCGATCTTTTGATAGCAGGAAATGTGGTGATATTCAACAAGTGACACAAGGACTTGTTAGATTTTCCATTCCTTCCTTCCGCGTGATGTGACCAACGAAATTTTAACTGCTCCAGTTGGATTATTTGTAGTCATTTCCTTTTTTCATAACCGGACTGTTGTAATACAGAATATGCAATATTTTTTTTAAATTTTAAACCACGCCAAAACCGTAAATGTGAACGACTTTTCAAGATTTCGAACAATTATCAATTATTAAAATATGGAAATATCTTTCTCATAAACTGAAAACTAATCTTAGTGCCAAGCATGATAGATAGAGTAAAGAAATAAAGACGGGAGATGCACTTTTTTGACAGCCCATTTCAAATGCACCTTCAAAATGAATTACTACATCAGCCTACGATTCATCAGACTATACAGCTCAGTGATGTGCCGCCAACGAGCTTTATGTGAAACAACAAAACAATGGCCGTTTTGAATTTTGAAGCCACACACACACACGCACACGCACACATACACAGGCATATACAAACACACAACACACACACACACACACACACACACACACACACATATATATATATATATATATATATATATAGGATATGCGTACATGGTTGATTGTTGATTGTTGATTTTTCGTAATTTTTCGTAATTTTTCGTAATTTTTCGTAATTTTTCTTAATTTTCGGCGTTTTTTCAGAGTGCATATTGTTCAAATTAGGTTTAATTGATAGGTTAATTAGAGATGATTATTAATATATTTTTGTTTCTTTGAATAATTTAGAACTTAAGCAACTAATTTAATTTTTTAGTTTAAATCTTAAGTAAATACGTTTCTGTTAAATTGTAAGCTATCACTCTTTGTTTTTTAGACGTATTGCATTGTTTCGGTTGTTCTGTTATTTTGTCTGGAATATCAACAGTGATTTGAAAGAAAATTTTGGTCATTGTTGTTGCAGAATATAAAACTACCTTGGCTGTCGCTGAAACGGCTTCGACACTGCAGCTGCTGCATCGTGCTAAAGACCTGTATCTACCACTGCATTTTCTCCATAGACTTCGTTTGTGTGCTCGATTAAGACATGTCTAAAACAAGATCTCAGAGAAGTCAGTCAATTCCGGGATCTGCTTCTGTAAAGGATGATAACATATTATGTTGCGTATGGGATGCGGTGGTTCAAATCGAGCCTTCGGACTTATATGATGAATTGGTGAAATATGCTAGCAAAAGTAAAAACATGAAATTTTATTGTGATAATTGCGTGAAACATGCTAATGGTTTTAAAGGTCTTTTGCAGATGCTTAACGAAAAATTTGAATCCATTGATTCTAGTCTTAAAACGTTTGATTCCATTGATATTGGGATGAAAAATCTGCAGTTGAGGCTTGAGTCAAGCGGTGAGAACCTAAAACAGTTAGAAAAACTAGACGAGAAACTTAGCCAGTCTATTAATTTCTTGAAAAACGATATCACCAAGTTTTGGTCAGACGTGGTAAAGAGTAATTCTAAAATTGTCGATAACGAGGCTGCTTCTTTGAGAAATATGATCAGTACTTCATTTTTCGATGTGGTAAAAAAGGACCTCGACGTAGTTAGTAAAGAGGTCATCTCTGTTCGCAGAACAATTGAAGTGGCAAATGAAGTTAAGGCCCGTGAAAACAACATAGTTCTCTTTAATTTCAGCGAAGACTTGGATGTTGCTAAAGATAGGGGTAATGTTCTTGGCTTTTTAAGGTCCCTAACAGACGAGTCTCTGAAAGATGAGGACATATTGAAAATATTCAGACAAGGTAAAAAGCCAAGCGTATCGTCTCCTCCGCGTCTAGTGATTGTTATGTTTATCAACCTTTCTGCAAAAGTCCTGGTTATGAGAAGATTGTTCAGATTAGCGCTGCTGGATGAAAAAATGAGGGAAGTGAGGATTAGTGATGACCTTACAACGGACGGACCAGCTAAAAAATGGGGA